GCTCCGGAATTCTTTTGCTGAGCCGCACTACCTCTCCCTCTTGCTTGTGGGGCTAATTCAGGGCCTGGGATGATGTTGATGAACTATCCTGGCTGCTCAGCCTCCTATTGTGTTACTAATGCTCAATAACAAAGGCTACTTGCTTTTAGTGACAGTTGCTAGGCGGGTTTATCTCCTGGGCTCCAGTCCCTTCCCCCACAGCTAGAATCTGAGGCTGGAACTGGGTCCCTGCCAGTCTTCAGAGGGAGCTCTTATAACCCAAGAAGGTTATCAGCAGGAGATGGCCCTGCTGGCCCTTACTGATGGGAGGGGTCTTAGGAAGAGACAGGTCAGTGGCAAAGAAAACCTATGACGGTCGTTGCAGACATTTCTTGGCTGCTCTTACTTGTGTAACAAGCAGTGCTCGTGCTCCCCTCACCCTCCACCCCCTGGGTATTTCCTGGATTCTTGGCAAACCCTTCATTAAAATTTCCACCTGGCCTTTTGCTGAAGTGACCACTGTTTCATGTTATCGGTGTTACTCTGCAAGAATACTGACGGAAGCATTTATCTTAACCATACTATCATTGTGCTGTTTACCTGTCGGTCAAATAAACAAAAATGGTGCATCTTAACCCTAGGTGTGCATTATACATTAGAATCACCTGGGGAAGTTAAAAAACAGATTCTAGTCCAGAGATTCCTTGGGTAAGTCTGTGCAGCCAGGGCCGAGACTCTGAGATCCTCTGACACCAGAGTATAAAGGTGAGGGTAAGGGGAACTCTAATGCCAGGAGACACTCAGGGTCAGCAAGATTCTAAACCTCCAGCTCCAACTGTGCAGTGGACTGAGTTTCTTAACCTTTTAAAGTTCAAATTCCGTATCTGTAAAATGAGACTTACCTAACAGTGTAATGTTGAAGATTAGATGAGATATGACATTAAGCTCTCGGCATATGCCTGGCACACAGTAGAAGCTCAGTTAATGCTTGTTAAATGAATCATGCTCAAGGGGTGAAAGCTATTTGCATAGGGAGTTAGAAATTCTGAGCCCTCATTTCTGGTCTGATGCAAACTAATTGTGTGACCTTGAGCAACTCTCTGCTCCCAAATTTCCTTTCAGTTCCTTCCAGCTTCAAAATTCTATAATTCCGTGACATCATAGATAATACAACTTTGTAGTCTTATATTGGCTTATGAAAGTAGTACATAGTTTGAATAATTTCCCCACCGATTTACAGTTCCTCAATTAAACTATAGTTAAAACTGAAATAGTCTAAATTGACTCCAATGTGTTTTTAATTCAAGAAGGCTTGTTACATGGATATAGCAGCTTTCGTATCATTTAGTCTTAGATGACTGACTGACACAATCTACTTGAACTTGCAGATTGTTAAATTCTTAGATTTTAACTCATCTTCTTAGGGCAACTGCAGATTTTGAGTTGTTTTTCTTTGTCTGGTGATATATTGATAGTAATGTCGATGACAAATATCCAGCCTAAGAGAAAACTTATGAGTTTATTTGAGCCAAGCTGACGACAGTTGTCAGGAAGCAAAATCTCAACGGATTGAGAAAATGCTCCAGAAAATGGCCGTTTTCCAACTTATGTTATACATTAGAATCAAAGGAAGAAGGTTACATGAAATCCATTAGTTGTAGATTAAGGGGGAGGGAGAAATCTCTGGGATTGGATAAAAAGTAAAATGGAAAGACATACTTCTTTTACATTGGTGGGTACAGCATAATTAATAGCATTTTACAGCACATAGAGATAGTATTTGGGGAACAAGATCACAATGAGGGACTTTGTAGTTTCCTGCTCTGGTGTAATGGGTTGTGCCCCTTGGGGGGTCCGGAAAAAGAGATTACTGTGATATTGTAAGGGTATGTTATCTTAGATGCAAAAAGACGACAGACAGGCTTAAGGTAAAGATTGACTTTTGTCAAGGAAGCTACAGGCCAAGGATTCGTGACTTCCCGCCATGGTCCACCTTTGTTAGGAATGTTTATGTTCATGCCATCCTTTGTAGTTCTTTTCAGTCTCCTGAGCTTGTCAGGTTTAACATGTGTTTTCCGTCACAATACTAATAGTATTATTAATAGTTATCATCTCTAAGTGCTTTACAAATATTAGCTCATTTGATCCTTGCTGTGACCCCGTGAGGTATGAATGATTTGGGACAGATTGTATCTCCACTAGGATCTCAGAAGACTGACCAGAACCTCCAAACCGGCTGACAAGTTTCCTCCAACATATGGCTTCACAGCAGGGTACTAACTGCAGAAGCTGGGAGGCTGGGAGGAGGTGCATGTGTCCCTCCTGGAGAGGGCCTCATGGTTGTTGATGGGGGGGGTGGTGCGCGCTCTTGAGCATTCAGATTCTGTCCTAGGTGCTTCCATTACCTGCAGTTTCTTGGCCAGAAGCCCAGGAGACCAGGAAACACTTTGGATGTGGCTTCAGCCTCTGCAGCCCCAGGAGCCAGATCCCTCCTCTGCGGCTCTCCATGCTGTGGGAACTAGCTGGGATTGTAACTCTGGGCTTCTCCAGTGATAAGTACTGGAATGACAGAATTGATGACTTGGCACCACTACCATATGCAAGCCCCCGTCAGGCCACTGGTGGCATCATTTGCATATCTATGCATACTTGATTCATCTGCCAGGGATCTTCTTTTAGGCAAAATTGCCATTTGTTGATTTTTTTTTAAAGGTTCTTTCTGTTGTCTCCTTTCTGTTCTGCTAGCACTGCTCCACCAACCACCCCACAACAATTCATCCATTCTCTAAGACATGCTGCCAGGGGTTAGTACTTTTAAAACTCCAAGGGACAGCACTTTTCTTAAGTTAATTAACGCTTATTTGTGGAGCTCCCACTTTGGTGCTATAGGAGGGGAGGTGGGAAGTTCAAAACTATGGGGACCCTACCCTCAGGGGTTTACCATCCAGTTGGGGGTGTCTGGGCAGGTGACACAGCAATGACAGAGCAGTCAAGGCATGGGGCAGAATTCTGTTCTTCCCTTCTGCAGATCAGCTTGGTAATGCCAAGGTGACTTCAATAACAGTTCTGGGGTAGGTTAATGCAATGGTTCTCCAACTTTTATACTCAAAAAAATTTTGACGACCCCAAAGAGCTTGTTTTTGTAGATTATATCTGCTATATCCTGTATAATATAGCCTGTATTGGAAAACACAACAGAAAATTTCAAAGCACAAGAGTACACAGCACACAGTCCATTATTTGTCAGAGCAATGTTGTCACACTGTGATCATACTGCTCCCCTTCAGTGAGTCGTAATAATAATGGGCAATTCTAGACACTGAGCTAACAGTACCCAAGGTTCTCTACTCTGGAAAGTCCTTCAGCCTTAACAGAAAGCCTGAGACATCCACCCTGAGGCCAGCAACTCGGGAAATTCCAGCTGGGATCAGCAAGCCGGGTTAGTCATGGAGGGGAGTGCGTGGAATGCCAGGCTTCACTGGGGCAGCAGGAGGAAACCGAGAGCAAAGGCCAGTGGGGCTGAGAGAAGGGGCTGGAAACAGCTGCCTGCTCACCCCACTTCCCAAAACCCAGGCAGCAGAGCAGAACACCCTCTTCCCCCAACCCAGACCAAAGAGCAAAAAGGCTATTCTGGGGCCTGAGGAGAAGAGGCCCGCTGGGGGTGCTGACCAGGGACACAGGGCAGCTCCTCCAGTGGTACAGCCAGGGGGGAAGTGGGAGGTGCCCTGAGCTGGGGGGAGTGGTAGGCAATGGGAAGAGAGTACCCAGCTGCTGTGATGTCAGGGGAACAAGAGCTGACTGCAGTGAGGAGAAAGGATTTTTCTTCTTTAGGGTGATGGGCTCCCATTCTACCTCTCGCTGCCACTCCCTGAACCCCGTCAGCTCTGGCTCTGTTTGGAGCCACTGCTCCCTAGGTGAGGGCTAGCAATCCTTTAGCCACAGACCACTTGGGATTAATGTGTTTGCTTGCAGAGCAGCCTCCCTATTTCCTGTTTATCAAACCTTCCTCACCTCACTCCAGGGCCATTTCCCCCAGGAAAGCATCTCTGATCCTATCCAAAGGAACCCCTTCTTCCTCTGAGATCCCATATACCTCCAGCATTTAATTCTTCCTGCTTTGTATCATAAAAACGGGGAGTGTCTGTCTCCCCACTAAGTTAAAAACGCCTTGAGGCCAGCCATCTTGCCTTATTAGCATTTGTTCATCCCCCCCAATGCCTACCCCAATTCCTAACATACTGTAGGTGCTTAATTAATGTCCATGGGAATAACTAGAACCTCCTGCATATTATTTCTTTCCATCCTCCCTCACCCTATAGTCTGCAGAAACTCCCACATCCTGTCCTGATCTGTAACTGCCCAAGCACACTACCACTTTGAGCAGGGTGAGACCTAGCCCAGTGACAGGGAGGGCTGAAGGAGCCACAGGGGATGAGCCATGGCCCCACTCCAGTGCCCCTGACAGCGGCGTAGAGTGGCTCAGCTGCCAAGTGGGCATTTTAGAGGGGACCCCTTCACACCCCTTCCCCAGTATGCTTCTCCCTCCCCCACTGCCTCTTTTCCTTTGTTTTGCTTATTGTCTATTCCTGGTTCTTCTAACCATGTCACTCTTGGGGTCCCTAGTGGCTGTGGCCACCTCAGGGATGTTCCACCCAGGGGTGGGAGAGGGGAGATGAGGGAAGTCCTTGGACCATGCTTTCAGGCTGTGTCCTTGCCCCAGAATAAGCTGACTTATTCTTCATTCATTACGCAAGTACTTACTGAGCACCTACCATGTGTCAGGCACTGTCCTAGGAACAGAGACCCAGCAATGAACAAGACAGGCAGATAGCCCAGCCCCATGGCATCAAAGAGCATTGTCCCAGGTGGGGCAAGGACTTCTGATAAAGGTCAGAGGCCATCAAAGGCATTGAACAAATAAACTGCAAAGTGCAGCCTAGTTTTAGAGGTTCTTGGTGGTGGGACTGAAGTTGTGCTCTCCTCACCTCTGATGTCTGATTGGGACCATGCTTCCCCCGCAGGTGTATGAACTGAACGGGACGATCCATAACCAAGAGTGGTCAGTGAGGACCTACAAAGAAGTGGCTTGTGTGTTTGCAAAAAAGCATCCTGGGTTTATTGGAATCAAAATCATTTATTCAGATCACAGGTGAGAGAGAATATGGTTGAAACTGCACAAGTTGCGAGAATGGGACATAGGTAGAGCCCCTAGGCTGGGAAGGGAAAGGGGAGGAGAAAGAAGGGAAAGGGGGTGAGAAAGGAGGCTGGGAGCCAGAAACCCCTTAATACCAAAGAGGTGTGGACTCAGCTTATGCACTTGTGTGCGAGTGCAAAAATCTCTTTCTGAAATCACTTGCAGTTCCAGTCTTTACAACAAGACTGAAGTGAAGAGCTGGGGCAATTTTCCAGATAACTTTAGGCTGTGATCCCACATCTGCCTGGGTGACTCAGTTATGGGTATGCTTTTGCCTGAATGTTTGGATAATTGGCTCGTTTCTTTGTTTTAGTTTGCCACAGGGGTTCTGTCTAAAGTCAGCCATGTGATGCATGTGGCTGTGTGCGAGGCCTTGATTGGCGACCAGGCCCTGAGTGACAGCTGTCTCAGCGTCTGTGTGTGGAGACCCCTCAGCATGTGTGTGTGTGGCCTGGTTTCTTGAAGGAGGACCATTCGTTTCATAAGCAAGTGCAGAAAACCTTAGAGCTTAATTTTCTTTTGGATTTTACCAAAGTAAGAGCTCTTTCCCCTCTTGTCAAAGAGCAGCCAGTCTAAGTCCTGTGACCTGCCTAGGGCTGGAGATGCAGGGGCAGCAGCCCATGGAGTGTCAGGGCAGGGGGTGCGCTGGGTTCTGGAGGGCAGTCAGACTTCCCAGGAGCCTCCTCCGCTCCTTGTAGGCCCTCAGGAGCTGAGGCCACACCTGTGTGCTGGTGAGCCAGGATGGAGCTTGCAGGATGGGCCCACTGGTTCTGCTCAGAGTCTCCCTGAGGCCAGAGGCAGGAGGGTGTTCAGGCTATGGGGCTCTGCAGGAGAGGGAATGTGCAGGTGTGGGGGGACAAACTTAGGCCCACAGAACTGAGGACTGGAACAAGTGAGCCAGCTGCTGGGCAGAGACCTTCCTCCCATCATGGAGTTGTGCCAGGACTTTTCTTTGGTGCATCTGTTGTCATGCTTCTTGCCTTGTCTCTATGCTGGACTTGAAGAGGGAAGGGTGTAGAGGAAGGTAAGACCCTGGTTATGTGCTTTCGGGAGTGCCCGGCTCTTGCTGACTTAATCAGGGAAGAGGACATGTAGTTGTCAGGTCCAGCTGACCCACAGGGACTTGGGTGACCTGTGGCATTTCATAGGTGTCCAGTGAACAGAGAGCTGTCCTCTGTACTGCACCCACTTCCAGGACCCACCTTCTTTGACCCACCTTCGCAGGTCAAATTTTGGACAAGGGCACTTTGCTTCATGCAAATGTAGATCAGTAAAACTTGTCTCATGGGTCCCCTTACCTTGCCTGCTTTTTTAGAGACTGTGGGTCCCTCTGCAGTCAGCCAGGGGTGGACTTGAGTAAAATATCTCTCAGCTATAGTCACTTAAAGGAATCACAATAGCCTGGTTGGGGTGGGTCATGGGGACAATGGTGCTGAGGGTTTGGGAAATGGTTGTCACATATCCTGGACTGGGCCAGACTGACCAGGTAACCAAGGGACCTGCTGTGTGGAGCACAAGGCTCTCTCAGCACCAAGTCACGCTATCTCCCATTTTTCTCTCTGTCTCTTACAGATTCAAAGATGTGTCCCTCATCATGAAATCTGTCCAAACAGCCATGACGCTTCGAACCAGGTTCCCCAGGACAGTCGCAGGGTTTGACCTGGTAACTGTCTACGCAGCAAGGCAGCTCTTTTTGAGGGGCGGGGCAACACCCATGAAACCCTCTGAAGAGGCTCAGGCTGCTGACCCAGGCCTGCTCAGGGTTCAGCAGGGTAGGACAGTCACCAGAGAAGGGAGAGCAGAACAGGCCAGACTATTCTGGCTGTTAAAAGGGAGTTCCAGAATAAGGAAGGGATGGGGCAATGAGGATGAATGGGCTTCTTCCCGCCCCCTGCCTTCTGCCTTAGTTCCTAGCCTGCTCTGTTTACCCACTACTTTTGAGATTGCGCCCCTCCCCCCAATCAAAGCCATAGTCATGTGCTAACAGCCAGGCCACACTTTCCCTGTGACCTGTGACGCTTGTTAATGTCATTAAGGAAGCTAAATTAATTGGGACTAACTGGCTAACAGGCACTGACACCCTCTTACAGAATCTGTACATTTTATTGGAGACTGTGCACTTGCTTTCAGATCAACCAGAGCCCCAAGGAGTGTATTTCAAGGAATTGTTTTGTTTGGACCCAGAATGTCCTCTGGGATCCTTGGGGGTGTCTCAAAGGATCTGCTTTCCAGGAAAGGGGCAGAAGCCCCTCCCACTTCAGCTTTTCCCTCTATGTGCAGCACTGACAAAGGGGCCTGAGCTGGAGAGCTTCCAGTACGGAGGTTCTGGAGGTGTCCGTACAAGGACTATAACAGACAAGTCCTCATGGGAAATTGGGGTTGGAGGGGGACAGATAGGTTAGTCAAGGGGTTCACTTGCAAGCTCCAAGTAAGTGTCTTTCAAGCCTATACTCCATTTTATCTTTTTTTTTTTTAAAAAGATTTTTATTGGGGAATTGGATGAGGGGAACAGTGTTGGAGAATTGGGGAAGGGGAACAGCCAAGTTGTTGTCCTTCAATCTTAGTTGTGGAGGACGCAGCAAGCTCAGCTCCAAGTCCAGCCGCGCTGCTCAGCTCAAGGTGCTGTGTTCAATTAGTTGTGGGTGGACGTAGCCACCATCCCATGTGGGAATCGAATTAGTAGTCTCTGTTAAGAGCTCTATCCACTGAGCCATCTGGGTGACAGCTCAGCTCAAGGTGCCAAGTTCAGTCTTTAGTTGCAGGCGGGCATAGTCCACCATCTCGAACAGGCAACCTTGTTGTTAGGAGCACGTGCTCTCACCAGCTGAGCTATCCTGCCACCTGTTGGCAGCTCAGCAGCAGCTCAGCTCGGGCGCAGCTCACTGGCCCATGTAGGAATCAAACCGACAACACTGTTGCTCAGAGCTCAGTCTTGAGCAAGCTCTTAACCAACTGAGCCACTCGGCCAGCCCCATTTTATCATATTGAATATCCATATTTATTTTATTGTAAAAGTGTGTCATTGCCCCCCTCCAGTTATAATTGGTGTTCTGAAGGAGGTACCCTTTTTGCCGAAAGCACTCTATTTTTTTTTTAAAGATTTTTATTGGGGAATTGGGGGGATGGGAAGAGTGCTGGGGAATTGGGGGAAGGGGAACAGACAAGTTGCTGTCGTTTTGTTCTTCAGTCTAGTTGTGGAGGACGTTACTTCACTGGCCCAAGTTGG